TCCCTGTCCCGTCCCTGTCCCATCCAATCCCTGTCCCATCCCTGTCCCGTCCCTGTCCCTGTTCCCATCTCTGTCCCCGTCCCTGTCCCATCCCTGTCCCCATACCCATCCCTGTCCCGTCCCTGTCCCATCCCTGTCCCCATCCCTATTCCTGTCCCATCCCTGTCCCATCCCTGTCCCATCCCTGTCCCCATCCCCATCCCTGTCCCGTCCCTGTCCCATCCAATCCCCGTCCCATCCCATCCCCGTCCCGTGCCGTCCCGCAGGGCGGGCAGACCGCGCTGATGCTGGGGGTGCGGCACGACCGGCCGGACATGGTGCGGGCGCTGCTGTCCTGCCGCGCCGATGTCAACGCGCAGGACCAGCAGGGCAGCACGGCGCTGATGCTGGCCTGTCGCCAGGGCAACGCCGACATCGCCCGGCTGCTGCTGGCGCAGCCCGGCTGCCTGGTCACGCTGACCGACAAGGTGAGGCTCCGCAGCATCCCCGGGATCCCAGCGCGGCTGGCATCTCGTGTGCCGGGCAGCGATCCCCCGCGCGTGGGTTTGGAGGGGACAAGTGAGGTTTCAGTCCGTTTTTGGATCTGGGCATTGCTTTTAGGAGGGTACCCCTGGTTTTGGGGCTGCTGTGCCGTGGGTGGGGTGGCTGTGACAGCCACAGGGTGAGCAGGAGCATTGGTGTAACCCTAAAGAAACCCAGATGAAATCCTGGCCATGTGGAATCGGCAGAGCTTCAGCTCCAAGGATGTAGCGGCAATTAACTCCTCCCTGAGAACAGAGCCTCTCCATGGGGATGTGTGGGATGGAGATGGGTGGAAATTCCTCCTGCTGGTCCACAGGGCTGCGTTTGGAATGATGGAAGTGTTTTCTAATTAAATTTTACAATTTTATCTGAGCCATGCAGGAGGGCACTGGGGCCGGGCAGAGCCACAGCCGGGCTGGGTTTGGTGTGGCCGAGGCCCAAAGGGGAGTTTGGGATGGTGACTCGGTGTAAGGCAGGGAGGAATGGAAGGTTTGGGGAGGGAGCAGGGATTCATTCTGGCAGTGATGTCTCACCTCTGTGTCCTGCAGGGAGGGAACTCGGCACTGTCCCTGGCCCACGGGGACGTCGCCGCGCTGCTGCGAGCCCACATCGAGCTCAGCCCGTCCCTCCCGGTGTGAGCAACACTGGGAGCCAGCACTCCCCCTGACAGCGGGGTCACAGGGTAGGAACCTCCCTGCACCACCAACAAAGCTCCCTGTGCCTCATCCTCCTTCTTCACAGCCCTGATCTGTGCCACAAACAGCTCCAAACTCTCCTGTTCTCTCCTTCTGGGGGAGATTTGGCAGGTGAGCACCCAAAACGAATGAGAAAAGCACATTAGAGCAGCAATACTCAGTCTTTTGTAACCTGAGGTTATGGGTGTCCTTTTAATCGACTACTTAACTGTATCTCATTTAACTCGTAAGTTTGTGTCCTAATATTTATTATCAGCTCTTCTGTAAGTAGTGGCAGGCAGCGATTACTCAGTGTATGTAACAACAAACACAAGCTGGATGGATTATGGAAAGCATAAAATCCTATTTATGTTTGCTTCTGCGGGTCTGATATAAGAATTAAAAATTAATGCTCTAGGAAAATATTTGAGTACGCCAGACCCAAACAGGCAGACATTGTTTTGCCTGGATTTGGAATTACCATATGGCTGTTATTTTTCCCTAATTAAGTTTGAGCTGACGGGGAAGTGCAGCCCATTGACAGGCTCTGAATCATGGTGGGGTGGGGCAGGGCATTCCAAGCACTGGAAGATCCCAGCAGATTCCCATCCCAGGGTGTGGTAATGTTGTCCAAGAGCTCCGTGGAGTGGCTTTGCTAGCAGATGCCTTTTGGAGCAGCGTTTGCTCCTTGCTTTGCCTCTGCTCAATTTTCATATTTCCAAATATTCCATTTTAATATTCCCAAACTCCTCCTGTAAAGCCGAGCCGTGATTTAGGTGCTGGAGCACCCACAGGGTCCAGCTCACCTCAAGTCAGAGTTTTTTCTCCCTGATTAGTTAATTACTCTTTTTTTTTTTTTTTTTTTTTTTTGTAAGCAGAAGTAAATTCTAGACCACTGTGGTTGTTGTTCAGTCAGTTCACATAGTGAAAAAATGTATCTGAGCTGCCTTGTGCCCCCATCCCTGCAGGGAGGGGAGAACAGCCCTGACCTCTGTTTTCCATGGAAATCTGCCATCTGCTCAATTTTCTTTCCTTTCTTCACATTGTCAGTCCAGAGCATTCACTATCTCAAAATTCTATCTGCCTTTCTTTTTTTTTTTTTTTTCAATATTTTTTTTTTTTTTTTTTTTTTTTTTTTTTAAACTTTTTTTTTTTTTTTTTTTTTTTTTTTTTTTTTATCTATAACCCAAAATGCCTCCTTTATGTACAAATAAAATATATTAAACCTTTCTTTCCCTGTGTGTGTTCCTGTCCCCATGGCTGTGGCTTTTCTGAGGTGACTTCCCACACCTGCACAGCACCAAACCAACAATTTTTGAGGTTTATCTTCAGATCAGTGACACCCCCCACATCCCCAGGGGGGTCCCTGCACAGATAGGACGAGGTGGGATATTTTTTTTGCAGGAATTTCTCCGATTTGTGTACAAAAGCCAGCACAGGCATCTCTGCCAGGCCCAAGTGTAAACAAAAAGAGCCATAACACAATTTTTGGACAGTTTTCACTGAGTTTTTTTCCCTGACAGCTCTGGATCCACACTTGCAGACAGGAATTTTCCTGCTGCTTCCCTGAGGAAGGTGGAAGTTCCAATTTCAGCAGAATAAATTTGGGAGATTTTCTGCTCATCATGGGGGTGGTTTTGGGGAGTGCCTGCCTCCCCCTCGATTTGGGGACAGGGAACTTCATTTTGGGCTGTGCTGCAGCTCTGCAGGGAGGTACCACAGAGTTTTCTGCCTTCCCCTACCCTCTCCAATGCCCCTTTCCCTCCTGTTCCCATCCCTGCAGCCCAGGCTGTTGATTTTCTGATTTTTTTTGTTGGTTAACTGCATCCCCAGGATGTTGATTTTCATCCCTGTAATTCCTCGTAATTCCTTTTTGCCCTTCAAACCATCTCCCCAGGGAGGAGCAGCTCCCCCAGGATGATCCCCTGGAGCAGCTCCTCTGCTCCTCTGGACCCCAAGGGATCAAGGGTGGGTTGATGCTTCCCCTGGCATCTCCCAGTGCCCAAAATTCCTGCTGTCCAAGTACCAGGCTGCACAAAAAAAAAAAATCATCTGTGGGATCTCAGTGCCACGAAGAGCCAGAGCCAGCCTTAATTTATACATTCCATTATCACTGTAGAGATCAAACTAAATATAGGCAAGGAGAAACACACCCCCAGTGCGAGCACTGCGCAGGACAAATGGAGACAATTAAGTCACAGCAAGGAAAAGAATTAATCTAATGATCTTCACAGGCTCAGCAGCCAGCAGCCCATCAGCCATGAGGGGAAAGGATGAGGAGGAGCTGGGCTGAACACGATTTTTCCACTCTCCTTATGGGCATTTCCAGTGTGTCCCTTTCTTTTGCTGCACGGAGAGGAGAGGGGACTCTGAGGGTCTCATCTGAAGCACCTCAGTGGTCAGGAAAAAACACTTTGCTCAGCCTTGACAGGGTGAGAGAGCTGGGCATGGAGAAGAGAAGGCTTCAGGGAGACCTCAGAGCTCCTTGCAGTGCCTAAAGGGGCTCCAGGAGAGCTGGAGAGGGACTGGGGACAAGGGACACAGGGAATGGCTTCACTGCCAGAGGGCAGGGATGGATCAGAGATCAGGGATGAATTCTTTGTGAGGGTGGGCAGGCCCTGGCACAGGGTGCCCAGAGCAGCTGTGGCTGCCCCTGCATCCCTGGAAATGTCCCAGGCCAGGCTGGAACAACCTGGGACAGTAGAAAGTGTCCCTGCCCATGGCAGGGGGATGGAACTGGAAGATCTTTTAAGGTCCCTTCCAGCCCAAATCACTCCAGGATCCATCCAAAGAAAACCATCTTCTCTTGAGATGATAATCAGCCAGAACCTGCCCATCAGCAGTGTGGACAGTGTCAGTGCAGCGGCTCTCAGCAGAATTTAATGTTCATAGAAGAAGCAGAAGTCTCAGCAGCAAAGGCAGATTTCTTTCTGCAGGGGCAGTGCACTGACTGCTCCTCTGCTTTGGGGTCTGTGGGGCCGAGCTGGCCCCTGTTCTGTCCCCACAGCTCGGTGTGGAAGGGCCAACCTGCCCTGTTTTTGCCAGGGTGGAAGGCAGCTACCAGCAGGAGTGAGATGGGCCAGGATTTCCTATCCAAAAAAACCTCCTGTCACTGTACCCAGGTGTGTCCTCCTTGCAGCACCCCCTGCTCCCAGTTTGGGAGTTTGTCCTTCCTGGGCTGGGCTGAGAAGATCCTCAGAGCATCCCTGGGGGCAGCTCCTCAGCCTGGGCCTCCAGCCCTGCAAGAAGGCTGCAGAAATGCAATATTTTGTCAACTGCTCCATCTAGTGCCATTTCAGCAGAAAAAGCATGCAGAGCACAAGGCTCAGAGCCCTGCTGGGGCCTGGGCAGCTTTCCCTGCCTGCCTCTGGAGTGAGGATGTGCCAGCACCAGCCCTGCTCCAGTCCTTGCAGACCCAGAACCAGGAATCCTGACCCTGTTTTTCTCATTCTTCTCTAGATGGGATTATAAACCTTTAGGTGGAAACATCTGTCCTGGAAAACATTCCTCATGAGTTCTTTAACTGCTCAGGGGTCCCTTAGGTTGGACCAGACTTGGAGCAAGCTGGGGAAGTGGAAGGTGGCCCTGTCCGTGGCTGGGGGTGGAATGGGATGAGCTTTAAGGTCAGTCCCAACCCAAACCATTCTGGGATTCTGTGATCCTAAATAAAGAGGGAATGAGGAGTTTGTGCTACCACTGCATATTTTCCTTTTTCTGTGCAGGAATTGGGAGTAAACTCTGCTTCATCCCCACCAGCCTTGGGAAGGCAGCAGAGCCCTCAGAGCCCACCTGGAAAAGGCCAAAAGCAAAGTCAGGGTGACCCTTGTTCCTTTGTCATTTGGGATGCTTCAGAACACTGGAACACAGGTCTCTCTGATTTGCTGCCATCCTAGAAGGTGCAGCTACCACAGGAAGGTGCATTTTGGAGAACAAACCCCACTAAGAGGGGTACCAATGATCATGGCAGTGTTTAACCAGGACATCAAACCACAAATCCAGATATGTGACCCTGTGGGGAAAGACGAAATTATGCACAACTGCAAAAACTGATGTTTTATACATGTGTGACACTAAATTAATTCACTCCAGTGCTTTCAGGCAGAGGGACATTAATTGCTCCAACCTTGGCATAATCACTTTACCCCCACAGGCTCTATGGATGTCACACTTCCAGGGTGGTAATTGCCATGGGATTAATTACAGGGAATTAAGGGGCATTACAAAGATTCCTCATCAGCAGGATAATGAGGTGGAGCCCCTCACCCCTCCAGGCTGACCTGCTGGCCCCAGCAGCCCAGCCAACACCAGCACATCATAACCTGGTTATGACTTGGCCAAGAAATGCCAAGAGCCCTGAGATGGCTCCTGCTGCTGCCACTGCCCAGAGCAGGTTTTTCCATGTCTCTCAGGTGAGGAAGCTGATGGCAGGACTGTGAACAGCACATGGCCCTTCTAAAGCAAAGGCTCTGCCCCCCGAGTCCTCAAACCAAAGCAGGAGAACCCTTAGGACAAGAGGAAACAGAGAAAAAGTTTTGCCAGAGGAGATTTAAACTGGTTATCAGGGTAACATCTCATGCATCAGCTTTTAACGCTGACTTAAATTAAAATACAGAATAAAACAAATGCACAACTACTTATGCAACTGAGCTTTATTTAGAACCTTTGAAGTCATAAAACGTCTCATTTTGCTGATCTACGTAAACATACAATCAGGAGGTTTAATTGCTTTTTCTCTTGCGCAGAAATAAAAGTTTTAAACAAACCAGAACACCCCCACCCAGACAAGCGTGATGCAAACTGAATTCTCTGCCTTGGCCCTGCACGTGGAGCATGGTCACTGGTTTATCAATTAATTGCAATATAATTTTGTTTTTGGCTGTAATATATTCGAACACACAAAGTGCAAATTACAAGAAGCAGAAAATGTTCTCTCTCCTTCTGAGCAACGAGAAGTGCAAAATGTCTCAGCCCATAAATTCTATTATTTATGTCTATGAACTGCATGTGCTTCACAGGCTAATAAATAGCCATGTACAACTTCATTGATTAAATGTGGCAACATCTCAGGGTCGGAATGCAATGGCTATAAGAACACAGGACAGAAGAATCATTCCCTTTGGTTGATAAATTCCACACACTGCCGCTGAGGGTACCTCCTCACACCTCACCCTGAACTCCTGCATGCCTCAGATACTTGTGCAACCAAAGCAGTTTGTTAGGATTTCTCCAGTTTTCTACATCTGGAGATATTCCTGTGCATCTGCAATCAGGATTCCACTCACACCTCACTTGGCACATCAAACAGGACACTGGGAATCCACTGAAAATGAGAAGTCTCTTCCAGGCACTATTAAGGGAATACCCACCAATGGTTCCAAGCAGGCTAAATGCACTTTGTGATTACCTAAAGTTATGGAAAACTTTCCAAGGAAATAAGGAAAATCCTTTTCCATGAGAACTTATCACAGCATTCCAGTCTCAATGTAGCTCACCTCACTTCAGGACTGGTTCCTGTATGTAAAATGGGGAAAATTCCATTAAATTACACAGAACAGCTGTACCTTTAACACCTCCCTGCACTGCTCAGTTATTATACTGCAGATTTTCGTCCTTCTTTCCATTTAATTCCTGGACTTTTTCACACAAACTGAGCAGCCAATTCTGACCCCACCCCCTTTCATGTCTCCCGGCTACATCACCATTACAAATTGCCAAATAGTTCCAAATCAGACTGGGCTGATTCCTCCAAACCCCCTCTTGCTCCTCTGGATAGGAAGATTAACCCCCAATGCCTTGCACTGCCAGGAATCTGCCTGCCAAACTCATCTGCTAAATCACCAAGGCCACACTCACATAATCACTGC